TTCCAGCTGTTTAGCAGGAGGGTATGTTGTGGGCCATGTTCAATTTGAAAGAGGGTCAGAAGCAGCCTTGTGCAAACTGCGCACTTCTAAATGATGGTGGGAAGAGCATGTTTCTTGGAGACCCTGCATACTGACTGGGGAATGTGCATATTGTCTGGAACATGTACAAAATGCAATCAAGGTACTCAGGTTCCTCAAAGCCCATTGGGGATTATGCATAATGGCCAGATTATACACAAATTCAGTTGATACTTGTAAATTTCCCAAGGCCTATTGAAGGTTATCTTCATTGACTGGGAAATGTGCAAAATTCTCTTTTCATGGCTGGATTATGTGCACATTCCCCATGAGGCCCTGGTGAATGTGCGCAATGACTGCTTCTTGTGCGCATTAATCACTCATCTTACAGTCCTTTTAATGTGTGTGCGTATACAAACTGACAGCTCTGCCTACTGAAATGAGCACACCCTGCTTCATGAGAAATCAGGTGAACGATGAATTATTTCCTTCCTTCCTCATCATTTACAGATCTGCGTCTATCATTTTGCAACACAAAATATGCCATTTACGCTGAGCGCCACTGAGTTTTGTTTTCGTGCAAACAACCAAACAAACTAAAAGCATTCGTTGCCTCGACCTCCAGGGAATCGGTAGTTGAAAAATAACATGGAGGGAGTGCAATTGTGTAGCATTAAAATTGCCTTAAAGAAAATAATGAAATAAAATAGGGTACTTGCTTCTTGGAAAAGATGGTGAATTTTTAACATAACGCAGTGCAGAGGTCTTCTAAAGCAAAATGGTGATTCGTTGTCTCCCCCGTGTCCCAGTATGGGTGGACCTCCAGCAGGAACATGCAAGGGCAAAATGGACCAAAACAAACATCCCTGATGCCTGTTTGACTTCCAATGCTTTCTCTTTTTTCAACGTCCCCTGGCTTCTCTCCTCCAAAGGACATTTCAGAAATTCCTCTGGTCTTTCATAGAACCATAGAATCTCAGAACTGTTGGAAGGGACCCTAAGGCTCTTCTAGTCCAAACCCCTTGCCATCCAAGAATCACAGCTAAAGAATCCCCAGCCATCCAACTTCTGTTTAAAAACCTCCAGTGAAGGAGAGTCCACCGCATTCCATGGGAGCCTGTCCCACAGCCAAACAGCTCTTACCCTCAGAAACTTCTTCCTGATGTTCAGTTGGCATATCCTTCTTTGTCATTTGAATCCATTGGTTCAGAGTCTCCCCTCTGGAGCAGCAGAAAACAAGCTATCATATCGCCTCTCAGCCTTGTCTTCTCTTTCCACTAATTGTAGAAGAGAGACATGCCCTCCAACATTTCTCCAATGAAAATAGGGACATCCTATTCAATAAGGATAATAATTGTATTATTTATGCCCTGCCCATCTGACTGGGTTGCCCTAGCCACTCTGGGCGGCTTCCAGTATTTATGAAAACATAATAAAACATTAAACATTTAAAAACTTCCGTATACAGGCCTGCCTTCAGATGTATTTGACAGGTTGTACGGTGGTACCTCTGGTTACAAACACCTCGGGTTACAAACACTTTGGGATACAGACTACGCTAATCCAGTAGTAGTACCTCAGGTGAAGAACTTTACCTCAGGATGAGAACAGAAATTGTGCGGTGGCAGCAGCAGGAGGCCCCATTAGCTAAAGTGGTACCTCAGGTTAAGAATGGTTTCAGGTTAAGAACGGACCTCCAGAACGAATTAAGATCATAACCAGAGTTATCGCATGGGCTCGGGGGTCCCATAACCCCATGGGCTCCAACATTTCTCTGATGAAAATAGGGATGTCCTAAGGGAAAGCAGGACATTCTGGGATCAAACCAGAAACCAGGATGGCTTTTGTAAATCTGGGACTGTCCCTGGAAAATAGGGGAAATTGGAGGGTCTGAAGAGAGACTGTCCACACTAAGGAAGTCCTGATACGGGTCTTTTGCATCTTCCTCCATCTACCTGGGCTAATTACACATAATGCAAGTTCCCTTGTTTCGCTGCCCCATCAACCCAAATGAGGAGGCCCTCAGCAAATTGTTAGAAAGAGGGGGAAGTGTTCAAGTGTGAAATGAATTCCTTGAACATTAATAATTATTCCTCGGGCCTTGGTTTTCATAATTCGACAGCTCCACAGTTAATAAATCAAGGCGAGAGAAAGGCGTGATAACAGCAGTGCCCAAGGAGAAGTGGATCTATGAGGTGTGGTTGAAACGCAAATGAAAGAAGCAGGCCACTGACCCAGACTTTATGTGGGGGTGGCGGGCGAGGGGCTGCACATTCTCTCACTTGGCACTGGGACTCCCAGCGAAAAAGATTGCAAGTTGGACTCAGCAGCGGTTCTAATGGACGGTGCATTTTTTAAACAACGGTCGCAGCCTGTTTTGTCAGCCTGTTGTCAGTTTGTTTATTTCTTTCCAAAATAAAAGAGGTGCTGAAGCAAAGATGAAGATGAAAGAAGCAAACGAACAGCTTGGCTTCAATTTGTGCTTTTGTTTTTAAGAGGTTGGAGGCAGCAGGATAGAGGTGTCATTTCCTGCGACGTGACACTCGCTCCTTTTGTTCCAGCGTCCTTTGTGGTCAAGAGGGTACTTCACGCACTAGAGAAGCCTCTCCAATATATAGTCTAGCCTTGGGAGATGGGAAGAATACTGAACATACAGTGCAGGGATGGGGAACATGTGGCCCTCCAGATGTTTTTTGGGACCTCATCTCCATCAACCTCAGTCAGAGCAACTAATGGTCAGGGATGATGGGAATCATAGTCCAGCAATATTAGGAGAAGCACTGGTTTTGAAGCCCTGATATAAATATCACTCCCCTGTTAATGTGTGTAGATCAAGATGATGTTTTAAAAACATAGGTGTTGGGAGGAGAAGACTTGCAACACCTTGTTTGTAAGACATGGAAGAGGAATTTAAAACGTGGTAATCCTTATGTTTGCAAAGATGGTGATTAATTTTGCAAAAATGCCAATTGAAAGCACCAAGAATATGGGGGGGCAAAATGCTCCTATGCCTTCAGCAAAGAACCCCTGCATTTTCCCATTTAGCTTTCTTTGCTTTGGTTTTCCTTATTTTATTTATCACATCTATACCCCACATTTCTCCCAATAAGCACATTTTTGCATGCAGTGTTGACCAACGTAACACATTTCCCCAAGCCATTTCTCCTAACACAATGCACCTTTGTGTGGTATTCCCACTAATGTGTTAATTTCAACGCACACTTTTAGACAATATATCCATTTTTGTTAACACTGTTTGGATGGGAAACCGTTTCGCAAAATTCAGCTGGATGCGAATTTTAAAGGCTGGCTGTGTTTCAGTTTGCCTAGTGCTTCAGAAAGTGCGAATTTGGTAGATTCAGCTTTTAAAAGCATACAGAATCAAACTTCTCCACCTCTAGTTGCAAGCATGTCCCTAGTTTCTTTAGTGAATTGCTGCAGGGCATGGGATTGGTTCCTGACCTTCGTTGTTGCTGTATAAACTTCCTCTTCCTGCCCACAGATTTTTTGTTTATGCAACAGTGTTCATGGATTGACAGAAACATTCCCTGGCACAGGGAAATTTCATTAGAAGGACACAGAAGGAGGAATCTCTGAGGGGAACAGTAACCTCCAAAGAACTCTCAGCATCCTCAGCAAACTACAGCTCCCAGAATTCTTTGGGGCAAACCATGACTGTTCCAAGAGGGATCACAGAGCTTTAAATGCACAGTGCAAATATGGCCTCTCTCTCTCTTTCACCATCCAGTTTAATGGAATCCATCCAGGAATGGACAAGATGAGGCACTGATTCTATTCGTTTATTGAGTGATTGCATTTGCGTAACTCCCATACAACTCCACGCAGATTACAGATCTACTAAAAATACAAAATGCAGCCCAGGATCTCAAGAATAAAAGAAATTATATCAAAGCAGCCTATCATGTTGTCCAAGGGAAGAACTGTGTGGCAGGAGCTGCTCTGCATTTCTGACCCTGGCGTTGCCGCCAGGCTCAACACTTAGATCAGACTAAGACACATCATAAAGACAGTCATAAAGGCAAGGAGTGTAAAAATACAAGGTAAAAAATAGAGCTTAAAAAAATACCATAATATATATTCCATGGTGGAATACAAGGATCATATGTATACATTTATGAACACCTGATGTAGTTCATCCCTTTCCATGGAGGCGCAGGTTACAGCAACAGCCAAGGCGACATTTTTCCACCTTCGACCATCAAGTAGTTGGTCCCTTACCTTTCCCGCCCCAACCTGGCCACAGTGATCCATGCGACGGTCACCTCCAGGCTTGACTACTGTAATTCGCTCTACGCGGGGCTGCCCTTGAATCTGTCCCAGAAACTCCAGTGGGTGCAGAATGCTGCAGCGAGGCTCCTCACGGGGTCTCTGCCATGGGAGCATATTCACCCAGTGCTTTTCCAGCTGCATTGGCTCCCGGTGGAGTACAGGGTCAGATTTAAGGTGCTGCTTTTGACCTTTAAAGCCCTTCACGGCCTAGGACCCTCGTACCTACGGGACCGCCTCTCCCGGTATGCTCCACAGAGAGCCTCAAGGTCCATAAATAGCAACACCCTAGAGGTCCTGGGCCCTAAGGAAGTTAGATTGGCTTCAACCAGGGCCTTTTCAACTCTGGCTCCGGCCTGGTGGAACCCTCTGCCTCATGAGACCAGGGCCCTGCAGGATCTGATTTCTTTCCGCAGTGCCTGTAAGACAAAGTTGTTCCGCCTGGCCTTTGGCTTGGAGCCAATTTGATTCCCTCCCCCTCTTTCTTTTTTCTTTTCCTTTCTCCTCCTGCGATGAGGCTACATTTTAATATTTTAATGGTTCAATATTTTAATGTTGTATTTTAATTTTGTTTTTAAGTTGTATTCATTCAACTTGTTTTTATTATTGCTTGTTAGCCGCCCTGAGCCCAGCCTTGGCTGGGGAGGGCAGGGTATAAATAAAAATTATTATTACTATTATTATTATTATTATTAGAATAGCTCAGTCAGTAGATCATAACACTCTTAATCTCAGGGTTGTGGGTTTGAGCCCCATGTTGGGCAAAAGATTCCTGCATTGCAGGGGGTTGGACCAGATAACACTTGGGGTCCCTTGCAAGCCTCCAATTCTATGATTCTGTTGTGCATTATTATCATGAATTTCAAGAAATAAAATAAGCAATGAAACAAGCTGAGTGTGAGGGGGTGGCAAGAACTCTAGTTTTCGGCGCTATTCTTTGAAACAACAATAATTGGGGGTCTCGGAGCAAATCCTTGGAGCCCCCAGCAAGCTGGAAAGAAAATCCTGTTTCTTTGCCTGGTGACATTCAACCCATCCCTCTGCTTGTCTCCACGCCTCCACTTCCCACGCATGTGCATTGCCCGATAGCCACCAGCCATCAATGCTCATTTAAGCATAGGCATCTTCTAGCCGCTGGCTTCCTATTTAGAAGAAAGATCCATCACTGAGAACTAACCAAAAGCCTGGAGGTGGGTTCTCTCTGCGCTTGACACGACAGAATTACATTTTAGTTTCCTTCGAACAGTTAGCAGGGAAATGTTTTACGTTCCTCAGTTTTAGTTCTTTTCTTGGTCCTTAATCATCCCCCTTTAGACCGTTTTCTGTCCCTCGTCGAGAAGTTACAAATATTCTCATGAGAACTGTGGCTCCAGAATGAAGGGGGAGTTGTAGTGCGTGAACCGTTTGAAAGGCTAATGCGGCGGGGGGGAGAGAAGCATCCACTTGACACGTTATTTATCATTCCAAAGGGTCTCGTGGGGGCATCTCTCCCCCTCCTTCCACTGCCCCCTCCTTGTCACAACCTCTCTGCCAATCCGAGTCTAAATATTCTCTGGCAGGACTCATCCTCTTGCATTAAGATCAAAGAGGGGCTTACAGGTAGGTGTCATCCTGCCACAGAGAGAATGGCAATTGCCCAGCCTTCGGATTTCGTTCCTTGTCTCTCCCGGCCACCTTCGCCATCCATAATCATTCATGTCCATTTAGATTACCCAGGAATGGCAGCCCTGGCTTAAAATGCATCCTCTGGTGGATCAGAATGCAAACCAATTTCCTGCAAAAACAAAATAAAAAATGATCGTTTGAAGTCAAGCAAACAGAACTTCCATCAGTTCCATTAAGAAATGTTCCTGCCTCCATATTGTTGCACATCCCTGGAATGTCCAGGCAGCGAGTGATTCCAGGGGTTCCAAGTGCTTTATCCGGGGTTTAGTTTCCTTGGAATGAAGGTGAACAGAGACTGTGGTGCCTTTAGGGTATAGCATTTTATTTACACATATATACAGCCTGAACACATGGGGTCTCGGGTGGTGCTGTGGGTTAAACCACAGAGCCTAGGACTTGCCAATCAGAAGGTCGGCGGTTCGAATCCCCGTGATGGGGTGAGCTCCCGTTGCTCGGTCCCTGCTCCTTCCAACCTAGCAGTTCAAAAGCACGTCAAAGTGCAAGTAGATAAATAGGTACCACTCTGGCGGGAAGGTAAACGGCGTTTCCGTGCGCTGCTCTGGTTCGCCAGAAGCGGCTTAGTCATGCTGGCCACATGACCCGGAAGCTGTACGCCGGCTCCCTTGGCCAATAAAACGAGATGAGCGCCGCAACCCCAGAGTCAGTCACGAATGGACCTAATGGTCAGGGGCCCTTTACCTTTACCTTTACCTTTACCTTTACCTTACAGCCTGAACACATGGTGGAGGGATTCAAACTTCCTCCTCTACGAAACACAATCCCACTATTGACACCAGTGTTACATGCACCCGAGTCTCTGAGCAGCAAGAGACTTCAGGGGTTCCAGTGTTTACTTGGGGTTCAGTTTCCTTGGAATGAAGGTCAGGTGAGACTGCAGTGTCTTTAGGCTATAAGGCTTTATTTAAATATATATGCGTAACCTGAGCGTAGGATGGAGGGGCTCACAACATCAACACTTCAGCAGATCTTGCCTTTCCATTAGGTTCTAAGGGAGATCCCTGAGTCATAGCCTGGGGTCCAGCACAAAACAAGGCAAGCCTTCATGTCTCCAGCTTCCTGCGACAGAAATCTGCTAGCAGTGTTAGATGTTCTAAGGGAGAACAGGAAGATTCAGGGGGGATGAAAAAGGACAGCATTTCCCCCCACCTCCATGAAATTTTATTCCACAGTGCTATCAACTGCTAAAGAGCTCAAATTCAGGACTGGCTGTCAGCACAAAAACTGATCCAGTAGCACAACAACAAGAAGAAGAACAACAAAGAGAAAATCCATCACCCAAAAAAGGATAAAAGAGGAAACAGATCTGCATAAAATATGCATATGCTCACTGATACATATAGATAGGGTTATCATATGTATGGAATTTTCTGGACATATCTGGAATACTGCATTTGGCAGCAGTGTCCAGGTGGAAATTGAAAAAGTCCAGGAAAATCCAGATGTACGGCAACCCATATTGGTAGTGCCGTTTTGGGTAATTTTCCATAAAAACAGCTCAAAAGCAGCAATTTATTTTGTGATTTTGACCAAAAAAACGGAACAGAACAAAACAAAACAGAATCTCAACAACTTTTCTATCTGGATTTTCACTCTTTGAAATATGTATAGATGTGAATTCAGAAAGAACGTGAATGGTCAGCTTCAAGGATGCTATCTGTGGTTGATCAGCCTCAGGGATGCTAACCATGGGTGGTCAACTTCAAGACCCCTGATTTCCCTTCTTATACATCGTCCTCTTTTAACAAGTCTTGGCCACCCTGGGCAGAAGCCAAGAGTCAGGGCCAAAGTGTAATCAGCATCAGAGGGCAAGCCAGGAATTGGAGACAAAGCACAAGTCCAGAAACATGAAATCCAGAGTTCATTTGGGGGGCTGCTAGGGGCGCATTGGAAGATGGCTGACAATACCATCTCTCCAGCTCACACGAGGTAATTAAGAGGCTGATGTGGGAGTATGCAGCCTCCCTTTGTTACCCCAGGGAATGGGGAAACACTGCCTTCGCCTGCGGTTGCCAATAAATCACCCCTGAGTTTGAAAGATGCAGGGGGTGAGGGCACTAGGCGCACAGCCCTTGTGTGGGTTTATGGCTCTCCCGGACGCTGTCTCTGATAGCGCGCCTGGTTGCAGCAGCTCAAAATAAACAATTAGAGAGCAGCAAATGCACATGTTTTGAGTGAAGAACGGGAGTTTAGACTGCTATGTGAAGTGACCTCTGTGAAGTTGAGCGACGGCCTGGATTCAACAGGAAAATATATCAAGAAGAAGATACATCAAAGCTGTTGGTATGTCGGAATGGGATGGAAAGGGAGGGGGACTTTTCTTTTTTTTTTCCCCTTATTTGATTACCGAACAATCCCCCCCGCCCAAGAAGAACCGTTGTAACAATTGATTATAAGCGGGATGATTAAGAACTGTGTGGAAATGAATTACTAACCAAGGCATGGTTTGTGGAATATCTGGAAAGGAATGAAAGGCTTTTGGAATGACGCAGTTTATAAAAAGAGACTCGCCATGAGGCAGGCTTTGTTGCAGAATTTACGATCGAGGGGGAGAAGGCCAACGGCTTTGTTATCATATTGGACTCTGAGTATGACCTGGCAGAACCCCCTAAGAAGATCGAGGAGAGAGTGACAGGCCTCGAAGATTAATGGGCAGGCGTTAAGATTGTTTTGTACGGAAGTGTTGAAATGGCGTCTGTCTGTTTGAATATGGCTCTTGGAGAAATGAGAAATCCACACAGGACTATAATACGTTTGTTTTCAACTTGCTTGTGGAGACTATCAGAGGTCACAAAGAAAGGAAAAATATACGATAACAACAAGAAGATGAGGAAAACAATAAAGAGAAGAATGGATAGAAATGTGAATATTATTTGGACAGAACTGTGAACATCAAAGCAGCAGCAATAGAGATGATTGGATCCCTTTCTGAGCTCGAAGCATGGGTACCCCCAACAAAAATTTAAAAATTTGGCTCTGTAATTTGGAAATAATGTGATTTGATTGGTTTGTTAATAAAAATTATATATATAAAAAAAGAAATCCAGAGTTCAGTTAGATCTTGCAAGTGGAGCACCACTTGGCCAGGAAGCCTCCTTTTACTCCTTACTGCCTTAAGAGTTCCTTTCATTCTAGGGACGCGGGTGGCGCTGTGGGTTAAACCACAGAGCCTAGGACTTGCCGATCAGAAGGTCGGCGGTTTGAATCCCCGCAATGGGGTGAGCTCCTGTTGCTCGGTCCCTGCTCCTGCCAACCTAGCAGTTCAAAAGCACGTCAAAGTGCAAGTAGATAAATAGACGGGAAGGTAAATGGCATTTCCGTGCGCTGCTCTGATTCGGCAGAAGCGGCTTAGTCATGCTGGCCACATGACCCGGAAGCTGTACGCCTGCTCCCTCGGCCAATGAAGTGAGATGAGCGCCGCAACCCCAGAGTCGGCCACAACTGGACCTAATGGTCTGGTGTCCCTTTACCTTTACCTTTACCTTTACCCAGGAGGAACCAATGGCTGGTGTGGTGGGTAGGGCCTGTGTACATCTAGAAGGTTCTTCCCTGAGAAGCAGCATTTATGTGAATCCCCACACAAGGCAGGGTCGGCAATTTCTGAGAGTATTAGATCTGTGAAGGGTTGTCCTTCCGTGAGTGTGCAGTTGCAGAGGATATAGCCAGAGGCCACATCTGCATCAGAGGATGTGTCCAGCAAATGTGATCGTACCCACTTGTTGTGCATTTATAGAAGATGTGACAAGAAAGTTCAGTGAATGGTCACAGAAATCGGACAGCAAGAAATATTTGAACATATATACCTTACAGACCTTCAGAGTAGGCCCCCTCTGATCCAAAGCACTGTTGACAACATTTGTAGAACTGTTGGAAACTTTTGGAGAAGTCATTTTTTGGTACTGCTTTCAGTTCCCTTGTTACGGCAGCTTGGGCGTGTGTAATGTTGGAAAATCTGTGCCCTTTCAGATTTCAGTTTTGGAAAAAGAAAGAAATCCAGTGCAGCCAGATTGGGAAAATATGGAGGGTGGAATATGCAATTCTTCCACCATCATTCGGATGGCCAAACGCTGATCCCGCATCA